AACTTGTTCTATTAAGAGCCTATTTAACGTTGTTAGAGGAGGGTCTCAGGAGATTTGGTCTGGAAAAGACAGCAGCTAATTTCGACGCGAGCGAGTCTGCTCCCATTTTTCGTTGCCGGAAAAAAAAAAGAGAGATGAGGTTTTACGTTAAAAAAACGTCATTCAATTTAAAGTCATTAAACACTATAACAAACATTAAATCCATTTCAATTCTACTTGTACTGGGAAAAGGCGGTGTGTCGCGGAAAGGAACGCGTATCATTTTAATTACCGTGCGCTCGGGCCTTGAAACAGAATCGAGCTCTGAGGCGACGCGAGACCGGCCTAACTGCACTTTCATCGGTCAAACATGTTCAGCAATCAGGCTTGCCGTTTGAAGGACTGCGGGAGGATAAGTTCGGATTTGAATGATAATGCCCATTTGTATGTGCCTGTTAACAAAACACGCTTTAAAAAAGTTTTCAAAGCCGCAAAATTGGTTTTAACATCTGTGATGCCAACTCGGCTGAAGCGACTCTTTTCTCATTAATGAAGTAACAACTAGTTTATCAGGATCCCTTTCTTTTGGGTTCCCGATTTAACTCTAAAGCCTCTCCCCCTCTGGATCTCTCGCCAGAACCTGTGCCATTACTGCAATCAATGAAGTCCTTTCAGCAAAGTCATTTCTCTCCATTTGACCCGTCCATGGTGCTGAACCAAATCGCGTGAAATTACCTCCCGGATTAATCTTCCTCTTTATTGCTTGCTCCAATGAAAAGCTTTCACTTTCCTTGTTTTACAGAGGCTAATTCCATCTCATTCTGATGCCGCGAACAAGCGGGATCCGAGAGGCCGGTGAAAGGAAGGCGAAAGAGGGGGAGACTCATTCTTCCAACTTTCTCCAGCTGGATCGGGCCTAATTCTACACTTAATATTCTCCATAAATATCGCGCGTTAAAGACCCCCCGACTTCCATCAAGCCTATATTAAACATTTGACATGTCACGCATGACAAACCCGGAGTGTCTTTTCAAAGGAGCATTAAGCAAAGAAACCAATTTTCCTCTCCTCTCAAACCTCCCCCAAGTGGTGAATGATGTGGAGTTTTTTCTCCCTCTAAAAAGGCCACTGGAGCGTATTTAGGGGATTTTATGAGAGTTTCCAGAATGGCTTAATCTTATTGTGAACATTATTAATGAATGGCAACCCAATTTGCTCCTAATATCTGGGAATGCTTGCTACAATTCAGGAGGTGCCTGACCCCCAAGCCTGAAAGCCACTCTCCCTCAAAGTTTTTTTCTCCTTTCAAGAAGCAAAACAGCGAGAACGTCTCCGCGCGTCAGGCCGATTACTTTCCGTCCCCCGGCCGATAATATTCGTCGCCAGCGTCCGCCGTGTCGGCGGCAGCTCGTCTCAAAACGCAGCAGACCACACGTTTCCACCGCGCCCAGAGCGGTGACATAAAACTCCAGTTATTCGAAATGAGCACAGCGCTGAAATTCGCAACTTCTGTAAACTTCCCGACGCCTCCGAAACAGGTAACCAGCTCCCTGACCCGTTTGCCCCCGGCTCATGAAAACGAGCCGAAGATGAAATCGCGCTACTGGAATATATTTTTTTTTGGGGGGGGCGACACTTAAACCATTAAAGCCCCAGATTCCCGGAAACACATTTAAAAGCCAAATGTCGATTCCGTTTAATCACGCACAAGGGCCCGAGGAGCGATCCGAAGGGACAGAGAGCGAAGACCGACTCCACTCGCGCAGGGCCGCCCGTCCCCGTCGCCCACCGGCGGTCACAGCGGCTCTCGGGACGACCCTCATAAAGACGCGGCTAAGCCGCTTTGCGAGACCCCGCGCTTCCTTTGGGGGCTACTCACTACAAATCACGGTGAAAGGATGAATGACTGGCTGGTAGCACTTTCTACTTTTTGGCTTGCCTTAATTCCCATCTCTTTTACTCTCATCCAATTAGCCCAGTGTATTAAGCGGTTTATCATCTCATAGTCAGCTATTCAGAAAAACAAGGGGAACACTTTGCAATAGAGCCTGGTCTCTTTTGACACCCCTAGGTACTTACATATTCCACTGTGCTATGAATAATAGGGGAAGAATAGAGCACTAATTCCCTCATCAAAGAATGCCTTGTCTACTGCTTTGCTCAACACCACCATTCCGATCAAAAGAGAGGCAATAAAGCTTAGCATAACAAAACGAAACCTACTTATTAGCTTAGTGGTTAAATTAATGCAGAAACCATTGCTATTGAACACCATAGTCTGAAAACACCCTCCAACTACTCGATAATGCTGCCTGGGAGCCGCAGGAATTTCAGGGTGAAATTCGAAACCTGGATGGATGGCTTAATCTTGTAAATTGCTATATAAAGGCATTTTGCGAGAATTGCAGTGGTTATTTCTTACACTTCAGCTGATGTAGTTATATATATCTATAAATACATATTCATACGCGCGCACATATTCAGAGCGAGTCTTTGTCAGGAGTGTGGAGGTACTCCAAATATGATCCATTAAGCACTGCATTATAAAGTAATGTGTAATGCAGTATTTATGGAAATAGGAACTCGGAAAGCAGTTGGTCTGCGTTGATAAAATGGATAATCGAGTGTTACTCTTAAGTGCGGGATGCAGGTGAGGCGCACAACTGTTTTTTTAAAGATTGACTAAACATTTGTGTTCCACCTCGCTAGCTGCGCACATCGCGTTCAGGAAGGTGCCGGGCCGGTTTGATTTGTATATGATGGGGGACAAATAAATTCGTGTGATGTTACAGAAACTGGAAGTGGGCGGATAAAATAACAAAACACGGTAAATGCAGGTCAGCTTACAGTCAGTTTAATTACGTTTTCCTCGATCTGCGCGCAGTATGTTGTCAACACGCAGCGCAGAGCAACGACACGCACATTCCGCATGATTTTGCTAAATGAGCAATTTAGCAAAAACTGGATTCATTTGAGGTGTGTCAGCAAGCTCTAAATTCAGTGCCACATTCAGCCCCTGCTAACACCCCTTGAGCGCTACCAGATTTATGTGCAGGTTTAACATCCCAAATTGCAGCCTTGAAGTGGCTTGGAAGAGTCCCCAGCTTTCTGGAGGGGTGACAGTAGCTGTGGGCCCAGACAGCAGCGGACAACAGCAACAGCTCGACAGGAGCAGAACAGCTCCCCTCTTGCTCACCGGTGTACGGGATGCTGATGACTATTGTATAATATTGGATCCCTTTGGCAGCCATAAACGAGGAGGCATCACCCTGCGAAATGGAGCTTCTGTCTCCACAACAGTTTGCACTTACAGCTGTCAAGAGAAGCGCAGCTCCGATCAATTCCCCCCTTAAAGTGGAGACATCAATGCTGGTCTCAAAATAATTGGCAAATCACAAGACAAGGGTGGCACAGCTGGGGCAGCAGAAAAACAAGAGAAGAGAAGAAGAGAGCCCAGAAACAGAAACTCCGGAGCTGGCGTCGGAGTCGGCGGGGGCTCCCAGCCCTTTGCGCTCGTGTTCCGGTCCTGGACGCCCGGGTGATCCCGCCAGGGGTGTCTGGGGAAGCTGGGCACGGAAAAGCACGGGCAGGTGAGGAGGGATGCTCGCTGTGTGGCCAGGGCGTGGTCTGCCCACCAGTAGTGAGCCGAGGTGCGGTCACTGCTGTCCCGAGTAAGGCCTTCGACTCGCAGGGCCCACGGGTGAGAGCGGTGCTGTAGGACGGCGCGCAGCCCCAGCCCGGTCATCGCCAGGGAGCAGCTCGGGGCAGAAGGGACGTACCCTGACCTCCCTGCCGTCTCCCCCCGCGGTCAGTCAGCACTCCAGCGGGCTCGCAGTCTTTCTCTGGGGCCGCTGGAAGGTCAGTGCCACAGTCCGAGATCACAGCAGTGCAGTGCAGGCACTGCTGGCAGTGACGTCCTCACACTGCCCCTTCCTACACACCCGAGGTCTGAAAACAGGAGAAACCCTTCAAGGAAAGGACAACTGGATGCACGTTGAACAGTTTCTGCAGCAAGAACCACAGAGAGCAAGAACAGGCTGGGTAATGACTTGCGTGCCACGTTTCACAGGGAGCTCGGATTCATTTGAGCAGAAGGATGAACTGAACAGGCTTTGCTGCTTTTTAAAAGAAAATAATTAGTTTGAATTCCCCCGGAAACTCCGGCAAGAAACACTGTTGATCCTCAAGATAAAAAAAGCACTGCCCTAAGTTTCCATTTGCACGGTTTTCATCTGAAGAGGTAGTAAGATAACAGAGAAACACCAAGCATAAAAAATGAAAACGCATCTTTAGAAACTTGGAGCCACCTGAGAAACCAAACACATCACTTAGAAGTGGCAATTTTGGTAGAATAATAAGCATTTTAGCAAATGCCTCTTCTTCCCAATGACAAAGACCTTATTCAGATACACCAGGTGCCACTAGCTGTGAGCACGAAACAGCCAGAAGACGCACCAAGTCCAGCCTGCAGCTCTGCTCTCCATCAGCGTGCTTATCGCTCAGCTGAAGGCCACTGGGAAAAACTCAGAGGGACCCCAGCTTTCATCGCTCCTCCTGAAAAAACAGCTTGCCTTTAGTATTTCTCCGATTCATTTTTCTTATTCGTACCCGCGTCACTTCCTCCCCCGCCCCCTGCTGGCTGAGGCACGCGCCACAGCAAGCACCCTGGGAGTCTGCCTGCCCGTGCTGAAGCCACTGGACACGATGAGTACCGCTGGCGCAGCTGTCCTGAACGAATCGAGAGATCGGTCGGGCTACAGGAGCCCAGCAGACCAACGGCACCACTGAGAGGGCCCGCTGGTCATACGAGGCCCCACAATGACGCAGAGATCCGAGTGGGTGTCCCCAAAAGACTGCGCACATGCGGTCGAGTGTCTCTTTCTCCGGACCCACGCTGTGCCCAGTAACCACACGCAGTGGCAACTCGCACATTGTCAAACGGCCGAAAAGCAAATTCACAAACAGACAGAGACCACAAAACGCCGTAAGGATATCATTGACATTTTTATTTATGTTTCAGAAACTTTTTGCAGTTTTATTTATTCAATACCTTTCAATTTTAACTTTTTAAATGCTTGTATTTTTTCAGCATTACAAAAGACTGAATAAAAGACACAACGTCAGGACATAAAAACATAATTTGCAAAAGTTTAACTGGCGTAACAAAAGGCAACCTTAATGCATTTTACAAAAGGGGACCTTTCTGTGCTCTGATTCTAAAAACATTTTCAGTCCCAACTGTCACTTTCCAAAAACACCCTACAATATGCTCAATCACAGGTACTGAGCATCTTAGCTATTCCATTAAGCTTCCACCTCCTTCCAGAACGGACTCTTGATAACTGAATCCGAGGGGCAATTCAATCAAGTATCCAATTGTGGAAAACGACTTCTGAATTGTAGCGCAATTTTATATCATTACAGTTAATTGCCGAACTGTCAACATAAAAAAATAACATAACTCATTATACAACATCTAGATCCTGTTAAAAAGGTATTACTCCAGCAGGCACTTGTCATTTAGCTGCAATTGTTCCCATCGGTTTTCATCTCTGATTTTCTCTGACCCTCGCACATTACAGGACCTGGAGTGTGGGGCCGGATTCAGACCTACAGACCCGCACTGTGGCGATCAGGGAGGGCAGAGAAAGTGGGCCATTTTCTTAAGTTCCTGGGGCAATGCACAAACGTTTCGAGAGGGATTTTTAAAGCAAAGTGATCGGCGATTATACAGAGGTGGACAAAATGACAGGCTTCTGAGGGAGAGTCACCATTGCGGTGTTGTTTTAAAGGTGCAGTTTTTGACGCCTTTGGGTTTGCTGGGTCAGAGCAGGCTCTGGAAGTGTCCTGCCTGTGTTTCAGATTCACCAGCAGCCACGCAGGGCTACAGGACACCTCAGAATAATTCTGAAGTCAAATTTTCTGAAACAAAGGCATTTTTAAAACACCAAACCAACAGGAAGAAATCAGACTTTTTTTATTTTTATTTTAGGCGAGGTATCCAAATCCAAAAACAATAAAACGGGGGGGGGGGTTATTTAAAGCCCTGATATTTACTCCTGGTCCTGGTAGGCTGCTATGTCTTCCAGTTTCCTGTCCTCCCTGGACTCAACTATGTTCACTTCATTTGTTTATGTTACTGCTGCTTCCAGGTCTCTTCTCAGCGAGGATTAACAGTTACCAATAAAATAAATGGTGGTGAGCTACAGCCCTTCAGGACCAGGAGTGAATTCCACTGATTTGCCATTGGGACGTGAAGGATATTCCCTGGTGTACTTGCTTAAAAAGACGAGTGGATAAGTCTGCACAGCGGGGCCCTACAGCAGGCAGCTGGGAGCTGGTGCCCACAGAGGCTCAAGGCTGCCGGCAGGCAGGACCGAGGCGAGAGGCAGGTACCTGCGAGGGCAGGAGGGAGAACCCGGCCCGACTGCAGCTGCACCCCGAGCGCCTGCGGGAAGGCCGAGGGGTCACTTGAACGAGGCGAAGGCCTGGAAGAGCTTGCTCAGGTTGACCTCCGAGTAGCCGCTGGTCGCCAAGGTCTGCTCCACCACGTCCCTCAGCTTGACGTACACGTCCCTCAGGTTGCTCCAGCGGTTCTGCTTGACGGTGGCTGCAGGGCACAAGCGCAAAGGTATTCACTCTCACGACAGGGAGAAGGCAGGAAGAAAGGGGCGTGACCCCGCGCAATTGGACATTGGAAGGATTTTGGCAGTGATTTTTCTTCACTTTTTGATCAGGTTCACAGACAGCCACACACAAAGTGCTCTCAGCCACACACTTACCTATACGCCCACATGTGTTCACAACCCCATACATAGCCACACCCACATGACCGCACCCACATTGCTCACACCCACACCCCCACGACCACACCCACAGTGCTCACATGTCTCTACTTGGCCACACCCACATTGTTCACACCCACACAGCCACGCCCCCATGACCACACCCACATTGCTCACACCCACACCCCCACAGTGCTCACATGTCTCTACTTGGCCACACCCACAGTGTCCACACCCACACAGCCACACCCCCACGGCCACACCCACAGTGCTCACATGTCTCTACTTGGCCACACCCACAGTGTTCACACCCAGAGCCGGACACGCCCACAGTACTCACGCCCCCCCACACAGACACGCCCACATGCAGACTGACGTCTACACATCAACTCCCGCCTGTACACAGACAGAAACGCACCGAACACGCCTGTACACAGACCCCATAAAGAAACAAAAGAAAAAGCAAAAAAACCACAGCAGCACCGAAAATCCATCAGGTTAATAACAGCAATTCTGCGATCTGGTTTTCTTAACTTTAGCAATCCCCTTAAGAATTACTGACAAACCTTAATTGGAACAAACAGCAACTGTTATTCAGTTATCTTGTTACCACAGCATGATCCAAATGAGCTGTGAGGCACTGACAGGCCTCCCCTCGGCACGCCGTCCCCCGAGCGGAGTCTAATTAAAAGGCATCCTTGGCTAGCACTGAGACAGAAATTGCCTGAGCACTTCCGAGGTCTAGGCCCTGCCCCCTGGGGCTCACGCAGCGCGTTGGCTCCATCTTCAAGCAGCCTTCTCCTCGGAAACCGGAAACCTCCCTGGAGCTCCAGAGCTCGGCATCCCCGCAGCCTTCCCGAGAACGCCGGCGCAGAGGGGCTGAGGACCTGGCACAGGTGAAACCCCCGCGGGACCCGTCTCCTCCTCCTCTCCGCGCACGAGGAGACTCGTGCCCTTCCCGGTGGTGTGGAGAGGGGCTCCAGGCACAAACGGGGCCCGAAACGAGAGCAAAGTTTGAGTGCTGCCCAGGGGGCATGAGACACTTTGCCACCTCCAGCTGAGGGCACAGGACCGACCGGAGAAGAGGGCCCTGAGGGAAATAAACTGGAGGCAAACGACAGGGCACACATATAGCCCAGCATTCGTCTAGCTGACACGTCACATACGTTTCACACAAGATGTGAAGAAAAATCAGAACCCTCAGAGGACGCTCGGCCCTTTCCGTCCCCCCCCCAATATTTTAAAGCCTTAATCCATCAGCGTTACCTGATTAGAATCATCTTAAAATAAAATGCTTTTTGAACATTTCACAAGTGTGGCAGATTTTTGCTTCTTTCCAAGCTTATCCTCTCCTCCTAAGCCAGTCAGATGAGTTGAAGCAGTTTGCACTTCTTTTATCTGCAGTACATTTGATGCAGAGCAGCTCAGACTCCAGGCACACTTCCATCACTGACAGAGAGCTCATCTCGGACATCTCGGACACAGGCTCTGCCCCCTGTGAGGTCGACCTGTGTGCCCGGGGATGTCTGTAAACCAAGGAGAGCTTACAGAAGAGCCCAGAGTGCGCACAATGCCATCTCTGGACGGACAGAACCGTCATCTCGCATAATAAACTTCCGTCAGGTAGCCAAGTCCTTCCCTCCGTCACGATTCAATAATAATTAATTTACAGTATCAAGGGCGTCGCTATTAAGGGAGCATAAAACAACTGCCAGCTCTTCCAGCGCGCGGAAGACGTCAATCTGGTAGATGACTCCTCCACTCTCCGACGCCTGCTTCTCAAGCTCACTCTCTCTGCACGGAGCCCTGCCGAAAAGGTAATGGACTGGCAATCATTCAGATAATAACAGCCCCCAGGCGCCGCAGGGAACTTCCCTATGGAACTGGGGCTTTACTCCACTGGGGCTGCTGTCTCAGTGCTCTCTGTCTGAGAAAGAACTCCAGCTCGCCTACTGGACTCCAACAACAACAAAACAGCCAAACGGGGCCAGAGAGGCGTCTGGATTTGAGCAGAACCGGGCCCTGGCGCAAGCCCTGCTCTTAATGCAGAGAAACCAGGGCGCCTGTTCACTTAGGCAGATGTTTATTTCTGCACTTGTGGACAGGAGAACCTGTTTGTTACATGAGGGATATTAGAGACAAATAATACATGTGCACAACAGAATTAAAAACACAGCAACGTATAGAATGGCCTCTAAACGGAAAGTTAATCGTTAAGAAAACCCAGAACAGAAAGGTCATTTCAAGACGCACAGATGCCTCTGGTGCCAACTGGACGCGCTTGGTCTTGGCCAGTTCCTTCAGTGTAGATTATCGGGCTAACTCCACAAGCAGATCTTTTCCTCAGAAGCCCACCTTCGGAAAAACTCTAAGCTCCTCGACATTTCCCGGGAAGAAAGGGAGCGCCGTCCATACCTTCCCGTTTCTTTGTTTTCGAGGGCCGGCTTTTTTGTGTCAGAAAATGAGGGTTTTACGGTCACAGCTGGGGCCTGAGCAGCGCTGCGGATGTGAATGACACGGGGCCGGGCCGATGGCTAGCGAGGAGGGATTTAAGAGTGTGCGCTGAGTGCAGAGCAGAGGAAGATGAGAGAGAGGACACAGCCCCTGATGTGTTTACCTACTCCGCTGATGGGATATTGACTTTTCCCACCAGGTTGGATAGAAAGGGGACTATTTACGCTGCCAAACAGCTGTGCAAGAATGACAACTAGCTCTGATCCCTGTGCCTCCAAGGCAAGACAATGCAGAGGCCTGTACTTTAAATACCACCCTGAGGATCGAACCATCTCAACAACACAGGGCCCGAATAAGCTGCAGCGAGAGGGAATCAAGACAAAAGCTCTTCTGGCATTTTTCTTCCTAATGAAATAATAAACTGTATTATGGTAATAAATTATGGTGACACGACTTGTCATCCCCCACTTAATTTCAGATACAGGTGACAAGTGTCTTTTAGCCTGTCAGCTACACTTAGGTCTCTGCTGTTCCAAAATATTCCTGCATCAATACAAGAAGGTACAATTAAACGCCAATGATCTGAGATGGGGAAAAAAACAGGAAGTGCTAAATTATCGCACAGAGTAGCACTTCTTAGAACTCGGCGGTTATTTTTAACCCGGAGTGAGATCAGACAGATGTGGACGGCACTTTAAAGAGTGCACTGGGACGAGGAAAACGAACACGGCTTGCGTGACCTGCATGAGGTCTTAAGAAAATGCGCGCCGTGTTGCAAACTTAATGCAGACCAGCAATAATTTCGAATTACGGTGTGGAGAGCGTCCAGGTATTTCCTACCGACGCGGGTTTAACAGAAGTAGGTGCCCCAGCAGGATCCGCAGGGCCCTGTGAGCAGCTGACCCTACGCAGCCGCGATCAGGTTCCCCAGGTGTGCCGCCGCCCCCCCCCGATAGCCAGAAACGAGCCGCGTCCCCGTCAGACCAGAGCCAGCGGCAGAAGGCTGTGATTGAGCCTCAGTGTGAATCGAAGTTGAAAAAAAACGACGCCTGCTGAATTTTCCATTTGAAAGCACCGACTTCGTATGCAGCTGACTTAACTCCATTTTATGATTGTCCAGTGCACAAATCTGATTGCCATCAATATTGGCAGCATAAGCAGAAAACATTCTTTTTATTACAGGCATCCAAAAAGCTTTTATGTCCAACTGTTCCCCTGATGACTAGAACAGACTTCCCTGGTGTCTGATGGGTGGCCAACATGGTCAGTATCTCCTTCCAATTATCTTGTCGGGTGGCCTCTTTCTGGAAAAATGCTTTGATGAGGCACAGCTCAAAAAACACCTTGCTTCATACAATCATCCATTGTGCAAATTGCATTAAAAAGACATCCCCTATCAACTTAAGTCCTGGGTTAAAATGCTGTCAGTAGTTCCAGTTCCTGCATGTTTTTTAAAAATGTGATTTTATATTTTTATTAAGCCTAATGCAACACGTCGCTGTGAAGAGACACATACTGATTTGGATTTCTTTGGATTACAGCAGGACAGGGCTGACTGTGCACATCTCTGTGAGCTTTAAAACGCCCCATGCCAGCCCAGTCCTGGTAGTGGTCCAGTGGTAATGGTGGACAGGAGCGAGAAACGTCATGGCACTGGCCAGGCCCCGCCCCCACGCACCCGGCTGGGTCCCAGGCCGACTCAACCACAACACGGGCAAACCACTACAACCCACCGTCCAGATGTCCAGTGGCTTAAGGAACGCTCGGGCTTACTCCACTCAAAGCGCTTTACAGGTAATAAAGTGGTACGCTCACACACCAGCTCTCAGTGGGGAGTGGGGAGGAGAGCAGAGTGACGAAGCCAGTTCAGAGATGGGGATTATCAGGAGGCCATGACTGGTAAAGGCCAGGACACTCATCAAGTCCATAAAAAGCCCCCTGGAACACAGACCCGCACTGCGGGGACTGTGGTCAGTGGCTGGTGGACAGTCCCGGCTGCTGGGACAGAGGGTGGGGAGCCCTGCCCCTGCCGGGATGAAGTGGCCAGCGGACAGACGGCCAGAGTGCAGGGACCAAGGTGGACAAGAGGCAGCGGATGGACAGGCCTTCACTGGCCCCAGACGTCTAAGGGACAAGTCCGAAGAAGCGAGAAGGATTTGTGTCGGCTGAAATGAATTAAAGAAGATCTCACCCCCCCCAAAAAAAAACAATATCTGTAACCATCTCAGCCATGTAGAAGTGGTGTTTTGAGAAAGCAGAACAGACAGCCATTATGTGCTGCTGTATAAATAAAGTTAGAAGCCCAAGCACGTGAGAGGACAGAGGTTAAATGTTGGAAGACAAGCTGAAATAAAGTTGTACAAAGAGGAGG